CAAATATCAAATACATAATTTCTAATAATTTTCTATCATATGTTATAATACCACTTGAAAATGAAGCCTTTTATTGTTTGCCTTGGATACAACCTTTAAAAGTAAGTATCATGGCATTGTGGCTGAATTGACCAAGATCCAAGCTACTTATCATAGATTAGAGCTTATTCATGCTTTTGGCATTCAAATGACTAAGTCGTTGATGCCAAATTTTAAACTTATCTTAATCTTATGGAAAATTGACAAATACTGCAACTTCAATCCTATTAACCTTTTTACAATTGATAAACTAGAGGTTGCAATGTCTAAGGCCTTTGGCAATATGCTATCTATTCAATATCTTCACAAAACATCCATTTATGTCAAATTGAAACTTACAACCATGTGATATAAATTTGTTCACCGAATGGAGGTTCTTCTTTATATTTGATATATGTAGGACTTCTTTCAATTGAATCCTCTTGATTTGGTCCTTCGTTACAATCTTTACTACAATAGAGCCAATTCCAATGGCTTATATCATGTCATTGTCTCCTAACCAAACTTTTTTTGCTAAAATTACTTCATAAATGTCAAATGAATACTTCTATGGTGTCATGTGCTTAGTAGCTTCCAAATCTATAATATACTTGGATATAGCAACTATAGAGACTCCTTCACTTTCTATGAAAGTATAATCATCTTCACCAAAACTATCATAAGCATTATTTGTATTTTCTCTATATCATTTCTTAACCTTGTAGTAATTCATTGCAAAGTAATCTAATTTTTTCTAAATATAGTAATTTTTCACATGCAATTGCTTGTAATAATGCCAAAAGCCTTATATTTACAATATTTATACTCTTTCTTCACCTTGATATCAACATTGTTGCTTGGAGGCTCTTTACTTTCATCAACAATGTTCCAAAGGTCTAATAAAGCCAATAAAAGCTTCATTTTCTTCTTCCAATTATAAAAATTATCACTTTTATAATTCTCAATAACTCTCAAGTCCTCACCCTCATTTGAAGCCATATCTATGAAAAAGATGGATCAAAGAAAATAATAAAAAGAAAAGATAAAGCTTTCAAAATCAACAAAAAGTTGGTACTACTTTAAAAATCTAGAATGCCTTCTTAATGAATAAACTAATAAATTCATTCTTTAATCATTTTTATTTTCACTCATTAGACTTCTCACAAATCTTATATTCTATCTAAATATCTTTTATAAGTTTTTACTACTTTTTAATCACCTCTAATATCAAATAAGACTTTTAATCTTATAAAATACTTCTTATTACTATAAAAAAAAAAATTTAAGAACTTAAACATATGAAAGCACAATGCTAGTTCATTAATGATGTAACCTCACAAAGGAATAAAATACTAGTATTTTAAAATATTATTTTAAGTTATCTAACAAATTATAAGATCATGAATGTATTTAATAATAAGTAAGAGCAAAACTACCTCAATAATTAGATGCAAAAATATAATTATATGATACCAAATCCTAACATCAACAACAATCATAAGATTTATTTTTTACAATAAGAAAGACTTCAAAGAATTTCAAAATTCACATGTAAAGGTAAGTAGACCTATAACCTATTGATGAAAAAGAACTTTGAAGTTACAACACATAGCATCACCAAGATTGCATACAAAGAGAGTATAGAGTAAAATGTCTATTATTTCCAACACTCATTACTTATAGGTGGTGGTTGCTATCCTAAAAGATAATTTCCACTTTTTAACTTTTATACATGTGATTATAGAATCTTTTAGCATCTAACTTATTATGAAGGTATCTTATGCCAATCACCAATTATTCTTAAATAATCTTTGAATATTTCCTAGTTAATACTTTATTTTCTTGACTTTGACTCTTAGCTCTTGATCTTGTCTTATATTTATAGAATGTCTTTTTCATATACCAAGAATCAATCTTTTTACTATTAACAACTTATCTAAAGTAATATCTTCTATAAGATAACTTATTCTATTTTTATTTATTTTTGATATTATTTACATAGTATTCCAACACTTCTTTCTAATTTGTGAGCATGACCTAGTTTCTCTAATTAAAATATGTTATTCTTGACACCTCCATGTCTACACTACAACCTACAGAATAATAGACTAACCATGAACTACTTAGTATTTGGAATTGTAGGCTCTGTTCAATTATTTGAGAAAAAAGAATGTATGGAGCTTTAGTTGTGTCATGAGTGGAAAGAGGCTTTTAAGGTTAGAAAAAAATATGAATATTTAAGAAAGAGAATATCTTCCTCTTATACATGTTTTAGAGATACCAGTAACTTTATATACTCTGGTTACCTTGAAAGTCCTTCTAAAGTTCATTTATCCAATATAATGAATGAAACCTTTCTATTTGGACTATCAAATATGCAATGGTATGTCATGGTAGACAATTATTTTTTGTCTAATAAGAACAATCTCATTTGGGCTTTGAGCATCTGACTCATCTAGGATATGGTATATTGACAGCAACTCCTAGGGTCACAAACAGAATGTTGAGTCAAAGCCAAGCTTATGGAGGTGGAGACCTTACAATCAATTATCTTCTAGCTGATGCATTCACTGCTAAGCATCACTGGCATCTAAGCATTACTCTTCTTTGTGAAGAAGTGGCAATTGTTTACATGTTTGCCTTGCTGAACTTGGGGTTCTTTTGATAAGAAAACTTGAATACACCAAGTAACATATTTTTCTATGGCTCATAAGGGCTATTTTCAGATACACTCATTTATACAAGCCAAGTGTTAAAAGCTGCCAATCTCATTTCATTTGGCTAAATTTTTTATTCAACTAACTCAAATATACAGAGCTGGCAAATTTTATCATGAAATGTGGCAACCCTGGATGTCCTGAATCAACCTTGGATGTCACGTATTCTGGCTTCCTCAATCAGTAACAGGTGTAAAGCCTACCAGATAGAATCATCTTATTGACTTTTTCTTGGGATATCTGTATGTTCTGACTGGAATTCTGTTCACTTTGATCAACAGCAGCAATTATATTTGCATCAAGTTGAAATACTACTGGTATATTTAACTCTCTGATCTGTGTTTCCTGCTCAAAATGTGTGCAGTTTGATGCAGACGGCAGTGCTTAAATGGCTTACTTGACTTGCATCCCTGAACTACTTTCTTCTCTATGGATCACTTGGAACTCATGCTTTCTGTATTTCCTCACATGTCGGGTTGGAAAGGACTGAGATTACTGATTAAAATTATGAGTATAGAACCCAGGAGCTTATTGTAGCACCAGGTTTGTTTATGCCTTTCCTACCCTATGTCAGCAGGCTATCCCATTCAAGTACTTTTCAAACATAAATCTTCATAGAATTGGAGCACATGCATTCACCAAACTTTGTGAATAAGAAACCTTGTAGAGTTTGATTAGCCCAACTTTGAAGCAACCTGTAGATTCTTGGTTGGGTCTTATGTCCTTTACATGGGTGAGTTGTTTTTCAGATTTCATTAAGTTGGTACCTTATTGACAGACCAACTATCATTTCTTATCCTAGTACCTTTGCTACAGGTTTTCCCAAAATTTGATTTACAGTAATTGTTGACCAGCATTGAGGCACCTTCCCAAGATGAAGCAATAGATACTATGTTCTAGAGTTTATCTTTCACACAATAACATCAGTTGGCTCAATGTGCAAGCAATCCTACTTATTTTATGTGGACTAAATCCACTACTGTTCATATACCTCTCAAATTGTAACTGTTTTGAAAAGGCTTCAGGTATCGACCTGGAAAAAAAAAAAAAAAAAAAAAAAACTTCTTCTGATCAAAGGAATAGTCTCCATCATAAGTCCAATCAAAAGCGCAGGAGTTATTAGCAAACTGCTCAGAGTCAAGTTCTTTTATCAGTAAGCTTTATTGTCTTGTCTATCTCAATTTTGTGGAAAAGGTAGCTGAAATACATCTGGATGCTACATGGAACAAATTGTTTTTAAAATATGCAATTTTGCTTGAGAAAAGGAAAAGTTGCAACCCACAACTCTATATATCCTGGGAGAAAGCTAATATGACTCTTCATTGACAGCTATCTAGGAGACAATGTGCTATGTTGGCACTTACCCCACTCTGCGAGCTGATAAATGCTGCATGAACAGAAGAATACACTGCTCCAATCCTGCTTATGTTTCATGTGCATACACTGGCACTACCATGTAAAAGAAATGTGTAATTTTCTACATGACATCAGATCTTATATGATATGCTCACTTTGCATATGTGGGTCACTTGCCCACTTGCTGTGACTTCAGGCTTTTTAGTTCTCTTCTCACATGAACACCCTGACAGCCAGTCAAACCTTTTGACTTACAATGGTAGCAGTAGAGTCCATAATCTAGAATTTGGCTAACATTTTTTAACCAATATCATACTCCACAAGGATGCCAATGGCTAACCTATGTTTAAGGAAGATCACTCTGAACTCAAATTTAAGCTGCTCACCATGGTCATGTGTTGATAAGAAACCTGGTGTGTGTTAGTGGGGCACATGCTACTCTAGAATCAAATGAGGTTCCTAGAATGAAGGAGTACTAACTTCAAGATGATTTGTTTGGCATTACAACTGGTATTCTTATGGCCTTCCTTTTTGAAGTACCTCCTTTACTTTTACCAGAAAATAAACTTGGAGTTCAGGAACAGACTCCTACTGACGAGGACTAGCCAAGTTGCCGAATTTTATAAAACTCGAAGTGAATGTTTTTCTCAAGCAACAATTGCATACGGACGTGGACTTGCTTCATCCAGGACCACTCTCTTCACTTCACAGACAATTTTAGGAGCTGCTGCGGCTGCTCTCGTCAACATCTGCAGTGGGAGCTTTGTCAAGCCTCTCGTAAAAACTTCAATTATTTTCCAAACCTATTTGCGAATTCTACAGCAATCATCCTTACAATAAAAATATGAAGGATCCACATACATCACACTTCACGACCCAAATGAAGGAATTGAGGCTGGATGCCACCTTGGCCAATAAGTTGTAGCTTTTCAGTTCGTTATAAGTTTCACAACACACATTTGACATCCATAATAAAATTCCGTAGAAGAAGGAGAGATTGAGGATGAAACATATGTAAAACACAACAACGCTAAGTCTCTGAAAACCCGCGACTCATATTTGAAAGTCTTATCTTTTCTACACTTTAATCGGCATGTTTACGACTGTTGCCCAACGTAACAAAGAGGTACGTAGGATAGGAATAAAAAGCATGAGTCAACGTTAAGATTACTTATTCTTTTAGTGCTACTATATCCCAAACGAGGCCGGCGATTGACGACTTGTGGAATACACCGACATTGGTCCTTACCATGAGTTGGTACTTGAAACGTTTAATCTCATGCTATTGCGACTCTTGCTGATCGAATGCTAGTGTAGAAGCTCAGCTGTTACTAAAAGAAGTTATTACTGTGCCAAATTGCTACTGGTTTCGTTACCTTAAACTCAATTCTATTTTACATCTAGTAGCAGTCTATTACCACCCTCAATGCTGTGTTACAAATAACATTTTTTATGTGACAAAATCTATAACCTTCACACTTCGGAGGACATTGTCGCAGCCTACTTGAAGAAAAAGCCCCTCGCCTGCATATTCTTCTTGCAGTGCTTTCCGAGAAAAACACTTGTCGTAACCACAAGTCCTGGTAGTCGATCCAAATTACTCTACAGTTTCAAGTGTCTAAGTGAACATTGTCTCACTTTCGTCTCAGAACAGAAGCTCTGCAACTGCAAACTCTGAACTAATTAGAAATATTACTTAATATGACCCTTACATAACTAATCAATTAAATTGGTCGACGAAGCTTCAATCGTACAATCACATCCCAAGATTCGATCCTTTTTTCTCCTTAATCCGCAATCACAACTCTAAAAATCTGAAAATTCGGTGAAAATCTGAAGGGCAATGATGTTACTTGACGTCCCAAGAGCTTCTTCCTCATACCATACCACACCTTATCACCTAAATTCGTTAACAATAATAACAAGCACAAGGCGATGCTGCCGCAAAGCTGCGCACCAAAAAATCGAAAGCGGAAACGCCTCCATCATCCACCTCCATCGAATGCGAGGGCGAAGGAAGCATCAGAATCCCCGTGCAGTCCATGAGACGTGCTCCACACAGCCAGCCAGCCATCCACAGAACCCCGAGGCCCACAATGGTGCGGAGGACCAAGACCAAAATTGGGCGGCGGCGGTGGCTGTGGGGGATGCGACCGGTGTGGGCCCATACCCAGCTACTTGTAGGTTTCAGTCTTCAACCCGGGTATCAGAGAGGCACATGGGAGCCTTTTTGCCCGTTTCCAGGATGATGCCATGGTCACGAGGAGTCTGGTGAGCCCCCCCCCCCCTTATTTTTTATTTTTTCCTTTCATACTTCCTTTTGCTTAAAACCTTCAAACTGTTGTTGAGATGTTGCAGTCGAATGTCATGATATTATAACCAAAAAGAGGAGGAAAAGGGGGTAAAGGAGCTCTGCACACATTGAATTCTGCAGCTGTAGCCGCAAGTCTGGGGAAAGCGAGTCTAGAGGAGTAAGTCATAAAAACATATATCCAGAACAAGCAGATAGATAGATAGATAGATAGATAGATAGATAGAGTGATAGAATAGAGAGATGTGTGTTTAATTGGCTTACAAAGACAACTTTTTGATATTTTGATAAAATGGTTTTACAATTCTGAAAAATATAATTTGTGCATTTATGTTTTTTTTATTATTGAAAAAGACAATCATTTTTTACAAAACATAACTTGCTTTAAATATCAGTGGTATAATGATACTTATTTAGGAATTTTTTCTTACAGGTTGCATGTGTATTCATCATGTCGTTTTTAAATGCATCAAAGGACCATTGTTATGGTTGATTTAAAATTCTGAAATTTATTGGGAATTGTTAAGTGGACACTCCTTTTTACTATGTGCCATTGCACACATATCTTTTTTGTAATTTATTATTAAAAAATTTAGTGTAAATAAGAGTTTTAGTGTGTAGTATAGGGATGTCTACATACTAAAAAGGAGACTATCCATCTCTTCATTCTTTATTTTTATTCATATTTTAAAATTTGAATGCCATTTAATGTTAGTAATTTAATTAACAAAAATTTGAAGATTTGAAACCATAAATTAACCTTGTAAAACCTTGATGGAAGTGATCTTTGTAACTATGGACAAAGTAAAAGTAGTAAAAATTAAAGAATAGTAATATTTTTATACACATACAGATTTGAAATTTAAAAAAAAAAAAAAAAAAAAAAAATCCGTTTGTTTGTTTATTTTGTTAGAAATAAAGCTAATGTATGTATTTGGTTATATATGTATAACTGTTATTTTAATTAAATGCAATGTATAGCCAAGTAAAATATCATGATTATATATTTTTGTATTTAACCTATACTTATGCTTGTGTAGTACATTTACGTTCTACTTTTCTCCCACTAATCACATTTTTTTATATTATATTTCTTAATATAGAACTCTCACTATTTTGCACATACAATTTTTACATCATGTGTTCAATGAAACAAGGGTTTTTCATGACTTACAATATTTATACAATTGTAATGTAATAGATTTATTTGTATTCTTGATGTAAAAATGTCGATTTCTGTCTGAGATGGAAAATTATGAAGAAATGCGTAATTCTTGTCATAAATTTTATGCATACTATAAAAATATGAAGTTGTTTTGGTAAGTATATATAATTCTTTCTGACACTACCTAATAGTGTAAAACTTTTTAGTTAAAAACAAATCAAGAATGGATATCTGAGTTTGTTAAGGCATATAAATTTAAAAACTGTAATTAAAAAATTAAAAATGTATGTATTGATACAAAAATATGAAATTATCAAAAAAAATTATTGTCAATTCATTGTCAACAAAGTATAGTTTCTTGAAGATTCAAAATACCTATTAAACTAGTTTGTTTTAAAAGTATTGGTATTTATTTTTAAGTTTAATTCTACCATGCAACCATGATTGGAGTTTTAATTTTATTTTTAAGTAATACAAAAACATACTTTACAATTATTTTTTATTCGTTTATTAAATATACAACTAAAATGCAAAGTTCTTATTGAATGTACATAGAATTGTTGTGGAAGATGTAATTTTAAACTTTGAATTATTCCAAATAATATTGTGCTTTTTAAATATCAAAGTTGGTATTGTGAACATTCTTGTATGTGATCAAAAGAATATGGCAGGCACCTTTATTTTTATTTATTTTCATGCATTGTGCATTTGTACAATTAGTAAGTAAATTACACATTATTTAAAAAAAAAAAGTGCTATTAGTATTTGAAAAATGATAATTGACTCGTTAGATCTCTGAAGTGTTTAGAATTTTCACCTTCACGTATGGCTTCTGAATATTCTGCAATGGAACCAACATTTCATCTCCATATATTATATACCACGTAGGAAATGTTAAGTAATGCATGTTAGCTAATGGACACGGGCTATGGTGCACGATAGGTATCTGGTATTGCGTGCTGTTACCTCTAACACTTAGAATATACGGGATTCATTCCTATCTGGCCGCCTCATATATTTTGTATCGTCTGCTTTGTATTTTTCACACTACCAATGAAAACTTGTTGTCAGTAAACATATAAGATAACCAAAAAGCCTCTAAGTTCTCAAGGTTTCCGCGACATGGTCGGAGAAAGTCAAGAATAGATCACCTAATCTTAGAGAGTTCACGAAATGTCCAGCAACGTAGAAAGGATCTGACACCGAGCCGCCACTTCAGGTCAAATAATCAGTCTCCGTCGTTCAACAAAGCAGCATCATGGAAAAAGCAAAATCCATTGTAATGTTGGAGGGGAGCAACTATCGTGTGTTAAGCAGATGCGGTTGCCTGCAGGAAGTCAGTCAGTTGGAGGTGAGCTACTCAAAACTAGAGTTAAGAGCTACATGGTCATGAAATCAACCAGAGAACGAATCATGGAACCACAAGCACAAACAATAAATGGGGGTCTCGAAACGGTAATTGCCGGGGGGAGGATGCGGAGAGTGAGGACATAAGAGCGGGCAAGAAAGGGAACGCATAGGGAACATGAATGGAACCCGTCGGGGAACAAGGGAACGAATGATTAGAGCCAGTGAGTGGATCGGGAGAGGAGGGGGGCTAGAGGGCGGGGTGTGGGCGACATCCATGGAACCCGTTGACCCGACCTGGGCCAGTCCGATCCGGCAGGGGAAAGGGAAGAGCTGGTAGACGATGAAGAAGAGGAGCTATGTCGCTTTGGCAGTCTTAGATGCTGCTGCGCTAGGGTTTCATTGTCATCGTCACTGTCGCCATCGCCATGGCGTAGTACCATAGCCTAGCATAGCATGGCATGGCATGGCATCGCACACAGCAGTAGCTTCAGACATAAGTTAGCAATCGTGTTGCCGTTACTCCGTTTTTGCTCACGAACGTCGTTGCGTTACCATCGCATGTCGATGGTGTTTTGAGACTGTGCATGGGATGGGCCGTGGTTTGATCATTCTTCTTCTTCGGCTCTCACTCGTGTGGATTGCGTTTCTCTGTGATCCTGTCTGTATTACCGAGAGTAGTCCGAGTATCGGTGTCTGGTTTCATGGTGGTGCTCTAGCAGGGGAGGGGCGTTGCTGGGATGACACTCCTGGTCAGTTGGTTGCGCCTGAGGTTGTAGTTGGAAGGAGCCCGTGGCTATAGTAGTGGTTGATTCCCTTGGCTGCCTGCCAACTCTTGTTATTGTGGGAAGAGTAGTTGGAATGAGTTGTTAAGGGGAACACTAGGGTTTCGCATATCAAGGTGGGAGTTTAGGTGCATTTTGTGTCGGGTTTTTTCTTAGTGCTGTGTAGTGAAGGCAGTAGGGTTGGTGGCAACGGACTTTGGTTGACACGGAGATTATGGGGATTAATGACTGCTAGGGTGGCTTTGTTGCGTCTTCCGTACTGTAGTGGTCTCTTCTTTTTCGTTGAGTGAAGCATGAGATAGCCAGAACAACACGCAATCCGCTGATTCTTTCTTTCGGCTGGATTTTCTCTGGTGTTGTATTGAAGCCGTGACCTTAAATTTTAAAAGGTCCTGTTTAGTGACTTCGTCGTTGCACCTGGGGAGCTTGTTGTTTGGAATCAGGGTTTCTTGCCTACAGCTGCACCAACGAGACCTTGTCGTTAGTTTATTTTAGTTTATTTTATTTTAAACGTGATGCACTTCCCAGCGCCATCTATATCTCGGGTTTGCAACTTTGAAGAGATAACTCAGCTTAGGAACAACATTTATTCTTTGCACGGAGGGTCTTGGGCTCCGCACCGACAACTTTTTAAATGTGCTGAAGTTTTACATGTCTCACCGAGTAGCTCTTGTTATTGGAAATCGTATCTTCACTTCTCTGGGGTCAAGTGTGCACTTGGTACAGTGCTATTATTAAGCTTCATTTCTCCTTGTATACTTTAGTGGCCAGTGTGCTGTTTTATTACTGCCGCCATCATTACCGTCGACTCTACGACTTGTCGGTATTCCTTAACTGCACTATCTTGCCGGGCCTTTTTCTGTACATCAAGTGCAATGATATGTTTTCAATTAAAATCAATTCGGCATTATGCCCATCATTTTATAACTTCAGCTTCAGCGAGTCAAACATATGACTGGCATGCCTCTTGGTTCCAATTGGCCGATTTCTATTTCTAGTTCCTCTTTCTGGCATTGTGATTGGATGGCGGAGAGGATTCTGGTTTTGCACATCACACTTGAAGCAACTATCTAGGTTAAGGGGGCAGAAGTTTACATTTTGATTGAAACTGGAACATTACCAAGTTGGATTCAAATAGTGGAACTGAAACTTTGCTGCTGCTAGCAATGGCGGACTTAGCTTCTCGCTGCCGGGTATGTCTATATTCCGTCGGCCAAAGCATGTCAAGAGGGTCCAAAGCTCGTTTGTTGGTGTGTACAAGATTTCTCATTTACTGGGGATTTAGAAAGTGCAGATTTTTGGCGTTCCAATTGATGTTTTGGAGCTGGCTGTTTGCAGAACCAGTTGGGTTCATTTCGCATTAGGGAACTTAAAGATGTTCTTGCACGACTGGGCCTTCCCAAGCAAGGGAAAAAGCAGGTACCCTCTGAAGTCCCCTTACGTACTTGTACACTACGTTTTTTTTGTCTCAGCCCATATATGTAACTCCGTCATTTTGAGTAGATGTGTTTGTTTTCCCGCTTCCTTGCTAAACTTTCTGGTTTTTTTATGGGATTAAAGCATCAGGCGATGGATTTTGATAAATTATGGTGATATCACCGTACCACATGTTAAATATAAGGGTAGTAATTTTGCATTCGATAAAAGATGATTTTTATTTACTGTGAAGGGTTGTAATTATTTTTCTGCACCATCAATCACGATTTTACACAACTTTTCACATCTCGAAGTTCTGGAATGTTGGGTTGTGCGAGTGCTCGATACTTATTCTCGCGTATCACGGTTTCGGCTTAGCTAATTCAAGTGCATGATCTATTAAACTGTTGTCTGAGCAGATCCTCATGGAGAAGATCATGGGTTTGATTAATCCGGTTGAGAAGCAATCGCTAACGAAAGGTGAGTGATGAATAAGATCAGGAGCTGATTTACTTCTAGTCTAGTGCATTATGTTTCGATGTTAGTGTTCTAGGATATAGTCACATCCAATAGTATCTTGTGTCTTTGTTCTTTATATAGACTTCCGAATCGATATTACGACAGATACTAGAGATTTGAGTGGTTTTTGGTTATACTGATTCATTTAAGTACTATTAAGAAGCTTTTGTTAATTCTCGAGCCTGCACCTACACTCAACGTTGATTTTGCAGGTTCCAAGAGTAGCAAAAAAGTTGTTTCAAGGGAAGAAGCCATCGCTGTAATTGATGAACAGTACAGGTGTGTGCTTCCCTGTTTGTTTCTCTTTGTATATCCCATGGAGTGTCTTTCGAGTAGCGGTGGTTCTCCGTAGTTAGCTCATAACCTTGCGAGAATCATGACTTGTCTCTATGAGTGAAAATACGGTAGAATCGAAGACTTTTTTCTGACCTTTTTGAAAGAGCAAGGGTGATGGATGCTTCTTCAAGGTCAACTTGAGAAGTCTAGGTCATAAATTGGTTGCTTTCCTCAAGTTCGATTTTGGGAATTAATTTCCCGTTTTGCTATCAGGACATCAAGTGCCTGGTAATTTAAATGTCGAATTCGCAAGGCTGAATGTGCGTGCGTGTGTGTGCGTGCACGTTTTTTTTTTTTTTTTTTTTTTTTTTTTTTTTTTTTTTTCTTCCTTCCGTTTTGATTTCTCGTTACGCTAGAGACTTATTTGTATTCTGACAGGAAGCTTCGAAATTCTGGAGCTGAATTATCTAGGTATAAATCTGCGAAATCTGGATCTAGCAGCGTTTACCCTTCAGCTGGGCATGAAGAGCGCAGAGTGCATGATGAGACTAAAGTTCATTGCCCTTGTGGGAGTAGCGTGGAAACCGGAAAAATGATTCAGGTCTTTTATTAGTGTATATATCTTTTAAACTGTTTGTTTTATCTTTCTGAGTTGTGACTGCCGAATTCTAACTGTATTTTATTTTTCATGAATTGAGTGAGGTAAGTTGAGTCAAGCTGTTCCACGGTCATATTGTTCTCTCGTGATTACGTAAAATTGGTAATTGACTTGTTCACTTGCTGAAGTTTTACTCATTATTGTATACAGATTATGGCGTAAACCATGGTCGTAATGTGTCAATCGTCACTTTTTGCAGTGTGTTGAACCTAAATGTCGGATCCGGCAGCATATGAGTTGCGTAGTTTTTCCGGAGAACACAGTGGATGGAGATGCGGTTGTGATGCCCCCGAACTTCTATTGCGAGCTTTGCCGCATATCCCGGGGAGATCCGTGAGTTTTTAGTATATGCCTTTTTTTTTGAACTGTAATTTAATTTACGAATGTATATATGGCTTTGAGTCTGCTGGTGAAATGTGTAGCTCTATAGGTGCATTTCTGACTTAAAGCGTTTTCTTGATCTGGGCAGATTCTGTGTAGCAGTTTCACATCCTCTACTGCCTGTAAAGCTTCTTTCATCCACAGTCAAAACGGATGGGTATGCTTTCATATTGGCCTGCGTTTTTTGTACTTTTCAGGTTCATCATACGATGAGGAAGATACATGAACTTTTGATTTGTCTACTTCTGGCTTAGTTTGTTGCTGTAATGCGGTGCCAGGATTTTGACAGAACTTTTGTGGCAGAACCAACACTCTCCAGAACATAGATCAGCAGTTTACTTTGAGTGCCGCAGACCATGGACTTCTTCAGAAACCACATCATGATCTGCAGGTATTGTATCTTCTCTTCAGATGGCTTCTATTTATTTTTCATTGAGCATGCTGATTATCATTTACATCCTTGGGTTTTCAACTTGTCTTTCTTTAGCCTCTGAGTATCGTGGAGGTAAATTGGATGCTTCTTGATTTGATACATCGACAATAGCTCTGTTGTAGGTTCGAGTATCAATGTGTTTCCAGGCTTTTGTTTGTATAAATCTTTTCATATGAGACGTATGTGAGGAATTTGTTTTAAACCAGTTCGTTTGAAGCTACTTTTGTTTATGATCGTGGAGATATTGGAATCTTTGATGTCATGCATATCTTCCGTTGATGGATATGAGTAAGTTTTACTTTTTTTCTTCTAAAAATACAGGTCTTCTTACTTGATGGATATTGCTCAGGTCTGGTGTGTCCTCTTATGCGACAAGGTTTCCTTTCGCATGCACTGGCCTTCTTACGCTGATTTACGAGTAAATGGTACTTCACTTTTCGATGCCTATATATCTTTTGTATACTCTTGGATTTTAGTTATCCAGCTCGGCAGAATGTTCAGCACAAAGTTATTTAAACTCATGCCTGCTTCTGCTGTTGTCGACAGTTGTCTGTAATGTTGGAAAACTAAGTTTTAGGTCGTGATATTTAATACTTTGAACGATGACAATTTTCGTTTCTGAGAATATCATCAAATTGTTTTTCAGGGGTTTGGTTGGCTTAAACAACATGCATAAAATTCAACGGTAGATTGAGTATTTTGTATTACCGATGATGTTTTGAATTTGACGCATCTTTTTATTGTTAGGCATGAACGTGCGGGTTACTAATCGACCTGGTCAGCAACTGTTAGGAGCGAATGGCCGGGATGAAGGACCTAGTGTAAGTGTACTTATGAATTTACACCAACTTTTCGCCTCTCTATTTTATCACAGAACATCCATTTTGAGATACAGTTTTGGATCATTTTCCATGGCAATCTGGAAATGGTAACCAATTTTTAAGTGCTTACATTGGTTTATTTTTTGCCTTTTTAGATCGCTGCATGTACCAGAGAGGGAATAAACAGGCTGATCATGTCGTCCTATGACGCTCGCCCGTTCTGTTTGGGAGTGCGAATCATCCGCCGCCGCTCTCTGGAGGAGGTGCATTTTTCTGTTACCTCAGGCAGTGTTTGTGATACTAGTATCAACGTATTGTTGTTGACATTTGCATAATGCAGTCGAGGATATATGCAAGTGATCTGAACATTTGCATGTTTTGTGTCCATACTTGTTCTTAGTTTTTGTATGATTGAAATCGAGGATAGTGTCATAATGTACAATCTGCTTGTCATCTATCTTGCTAAGATATACATGTCTTGTATTTTATACTCCCTAATTTTGTGGATGGGATATTTAACGGTTGTAAGGTTGTTAGTATTATCCCTAGTGAGAGGGATGGAGAGCCTTTTGAAGAGGCGATGGCCCGAGTTCGTCGATGCATCAATGGAGGGGGTGGTCAGGGATTAGGGGCGGACGGTGACGGTAGTGATAGCGATTTGGAAGTTGTGGCGGAATCTATCTCTGTTAACTTACGCTGTCCGGTGAGCGCTATGCGCTTTTTCGCTTTCTTTTTTCTTCTTTTATTTATTTAATAATGATAATAATGATAATGATGATGATAATAATAATAATAATGATAATAATAATAATCTATAGTGACGTTCCGTTCTTTTCTGAAATTTGATCATCTGATGATGGTATTTAGCTTGATTCATTTGCCTGCAGTGTGCTTTACTGTATTGTTCACTTCTTTAGGACTTTGAGGCAAGTGATTGAGCTTTTGGATAATTTTACTAGGTTCTTAGTGTTGCTATTTCTTAATGTGGTGGCAAATCTATCCGTGTGCTAATTTCTTTAGTTTGTGATGTACAGATGAGTGGGTCACGAATCAAGGTTGCTGGTCGTTTTAAGCCATGTCTACATATGGGTTGCTTTGACCTTGATACATATGTGGAAATGAATCAGCGAGCACGGAAGGTATTTTATGGGCTTTTTGCTGTACTGATCTCCTGCTGATTCATTTAACCACATTTTTCATTGGGCGTAGTCTTTGTACATCTGTCTATTTAAGCAAAATTAATTGCTGCTCAGTATAATACGCACTCAGATAGTAAAGGTATGCAGGTTAACCCTCTTTATTTTTGTACTGATGTTTTCCCGCTACTTTTTTGTGACTGATGCAGTGGCAATGTCCAATTTGTCTGAAGAACTATTCTATAGAACATTTAATCATTGACCCTTTTTTCAATCGGATTACAAACGCGGTATGATTCAAGGCTTTTATCTTTCAAATTTTGACGAATATTGGATAATGTTTTAAGTGGATTAGAACATATTACATTGCTCAGAGGATCACCTCATTATCATTGGGATCTGAGAAAACAAATTATTGTTTGTAAATTTTTATAGTCTGTTCATTGTACATCTAAGGGAAAAGTTTAATTTGAGCTAATATGTCATTTCTAATTAGGATGAACATAAGACATTTATCAAAGCTTAGTTTTACATTGTATTCTTAGTGGACATTTAGAATCTCAGATGTTAATTTTTCTCACTATTTTTAAAGATTTCTAATTAAAATAGGTTCAATACCAGGTGAGAACTCTGGATGAAGACATCACTGAGGTGGAGCTTAAAGCTGATGGTTTTTGGCGGCCCAAACTGGAAGGGAATGCTAGGAATGGGGAGCCTTGGCGTCCATCACCAGCCGCTGCTGCAGCAGCTGTTACCAATGGGATCAAATCAGTACCTGTGTTGTTTCCTAACCATCATATCAAGGTTGAAGAGGGACTGTCTTCTCATGACCATCGCGCTTTGCGATTTAGGCGGACGTCTGAAGGCCAATGGGCTTTGAATGGGACGAGGCGCCTCAATGCTAATCCTAACCATCAAGTTATGCCCTTAGCTAGACTTTCAAGAAGCAGCAGTGCTACTGACAGTAATTTAAAAGGAGACGAGGATGAGCACAGTGTGAATCAAGACCCAAGTGAGAAGAATGTTATGTTCATGGATGATAACGATGATGCTGAATACTCATCAAAACCTCGGAATGAGCCTGGAGTAACGTGGCAAACTAGCTGTGATGAGCCTGCAAATGGAGCTGATGTAATTGTTCTTAGTGATACAGATGATGAAGGTGCAGAAGAAGAAGCCGTTGTTGGGTCCTCTGGGGCATCAATGTACGCGGAATCTGATGTTGGCAATGGGCGAGTGCGTTCTTCGGAGGTTAGCATACGCAATGATACGAATGGCGATTCGTCAGGGCTTGCTCTTGGTTTAGATAGTACCGATGTCACTCTTGCAAGCAACTCAGCATGTCTTACATTTGGCTCTCTGCTGAGCACTAGAGTTCCTGATGAAGGGACGAGTAACAATAGTGGGTTAGGCTTGCAGTTAGATAACAATAGCTTCTGGACAGTACCTGCTGCAATTCCTAGGTACTATGGTACCCCAGCAGAGACGGTTGGGCTGCAGCGTCCTTCTCTTGTGCGGCCAACACCACTGCAAGCTGGAGCTGGTCCTGGATTTCTGTCTACTTCCCTTGTCAGAAACGATTCGTTGCAATCGGGCTGGAAAAGTTTCAGAGAGTCGCATGCTCCCATACATTATGGGATTACAGATGGTTGTAGTATGGACAATGACACAACTGCTTCGCCTCTGCAAAATTTTCTGCCAGCGCAGCCAGCTCGAGCTGAGGTATTGTTACAGGAGTTCGACCCTCGGTTGTTGCATTTACATTTTTTTAATGGGATTCGTCAATGTGCTTGCCCTCCATATTTGATAGACCAGTATTTTGGATTTGTGTCAATATAATTAAATCTTTCTGGCACAATCACCTAAGTTAACTTTTAGTTACAGACATTCTTGCAGGTCCAAGAAAATTTACGGGAGCCATTCCTTCCTGAAGAAGATATCGACAATTCTTGGTTTTCCCTTAGTCTTGGTGGAGGAGAAAATCTGGTTAAATCAACTCCAACACAGAATCCACGTACTAGTTCAATGGAACGCTATTCGCCAATTCTTCAACCGAGAGTTGCTGAAATTGATCCCCAGGGTAGAGGTACGTCAAATTCCAGCTCACAGTGATTATCCTGTCCTCTTTTTTGAAAAATTCGTTGCTGGCGTTCTTAAATCAGGGACTTCTACTTCAGTAGTCTAAGTTGAGTTTTCTACGCAGTATTATCATGTGGAATTGCACATTTTCCGGTATTTGTTTCACGTTCTTGGGAACATTCTCGGGAGGTTGTGATTGCTGGTGTTGATTTTGTTAACTGTAATGTTAGGTCTTGATAACAATGGATCGTCCCAACGCCTTGTAGACTCACGACCTCCAGTGCGCAGTCATTTTACCGCAGACGGCCATCCTTTTCCTGTAAGGCCACGTAGTAGCCCCAATCATGCACGAAGGGTTTACAGCCAAGTTCGGATGGATGATTCTGAGTAGATTAGAAGCTCCACTCTTGTCTGCTAGTAGACCGTGACAAGATTGTGCAAAATACGTCTTGATTCTGCATCAACTGCAGTCTCTCCAGGCAACTGTTGTTGTGTAGTGAGGCATATTCCTCTCTACTTGGAATCGAAGGAGCGTGGCAAGCATCTACATTTGGCGACTTTGCTAGTTACCATGCCCAGTTTCTTGTCTACTACGCTACTCTCAGGTACCTAGATTTCTTCCAACTCTCCTCCACAGGACACTTCGTATGTAATTTGTTAACTATTGTGACTTTTAAGTCATGTTCAGATTATATGAACGCCTTTCAGATTCAAGTTTTACTGATTTCAGTGACATTATGCTTACTGTAAATGGTACTGCTGATTTGGGGATGTAGGACTTGAAGAACATAAATGGAGTTTCGACTGTGCAAGTTCGCTGCATTACCAGTTCAGGATTGTACCTTATTGCTTACAGGGAGTTAAGGCAGAGAGTGGCTTCATGCCTATGCACCTTTTGTTGAGTTTGTAATATGAAATTGTACAATATGTGCTACCTTGAAGAAGATAGTTCACCCATGATTATTGTATATAGTTCCCCGAGGGAGATATAACATAATTTTAGAGGAATTCACTTAATCCTTCGTCGACATCTTTATTTTGCGTAGCTCTCTTTCGAGTGGTGTCCAGTGCGCAGAATGGTTCTAAATTCTCAAAGCGGGACAAATGAGAAGTTTGGAGGGGAACTCGAGTACTGGTTAGTGAGGTCTCCTCGGAAGTAGTTCGTATATCAATCTTTTTTAGTAACATCAAAATTTAATCCTAGCTAATATCAGGTTCAAAAAACTTCCTTTTTCTGAATGTACTGTATCCCGATTCAGCTGAAGTTATCGTAGAGTCGCTTCATTCGATTCGCACCAAATCATGACAATTGTTTAATAGAATTCATGTTGCCCCTATTTCACCACTTGGATATTATCTAGTCTAAAGAATCTTCAATTTGGCAATCCTACATTGTTAAATTTCTACAGAACTTTTTATAAATTCTCGAAATCAATCCTAAAACGAATAAAAAAATATGATTTTGTAAAGATTGCATCTCAATCTTTCTTCTTAATTTGATAATCTCTCTCTCTCTCTCTCTCTCTCTCTCTCTAAATATATATATATATATATATATATATATATATATTTTATGAAATATAATCAGGAATATAGGCAAAGTATAAATTTCAAGGTAATCACAAGATTTAATCCTAGTTTCATTCTTAATCATCATTTTTTTGTTGGAACAAAATGATAGATTTTTATTCTGCATTATTTTTTAAATAACCTATTTTTTAAATAACTTATTAATTAGAATTTGGTGTCATAACTAACTTATAACAACTATCACAATGACTTAATAATAATAATAATATACAATATTAACTCTGCTGAGTTATCTCCCAGTAAGTTATAACCTCTGATAAAGTATAAAAAAATGGAGGAACCAACTTGGTTCTATGGTAGTTAATGGTAGTTAAGTTATATTAGTTATTGCCATGGTAGAAGAATATAACTTTGTGGAGGGAAAAAAACAATAGAGAATCTAGCTTAGTTAAGAATCCATTCTGTTTTTTCCCTCCATAGCTAGTGTGATTTGCTAGAGTCTTTTTGTATGCAACTTTTGCTGAATGTTGCTAAGAGTCTTGTGAGTAGCATATTCACCGACATTTCCAATGTCGAGTATGGAGATAACAATGGAAAGGCTCAGCAACTTCTTTGTGCATGTAAACAACAATGCCGCTAAGTCTTTTTCAAGAATGTTGTTAGTATCTTTACCTCCCTTTGTTTCTTGATAACAAACAAGCTCAATAATCTTGTAATCATTTAGCTTGATTTGAGTACCATTTTCTTTGATTGGATTGAGCGGGTTCTTAATTGACATTAGATTAATAGACCTCAAATTATGCCTACCATCTCCTCTTTGATTGTTTTTTTACCATTGTCGATCTCTTTGACTTTGGATGCTTGTTTAAACAACCTAGTATGCCTAAAGCAATGTTGTGATATTCTTGGACATACTTTTTCCCAAGTCGCAAGTGACCAATACATTGCTATCAATTGCTTGATTTTATATAGGTTGAATTCATTTTTCTCATCTCGGTCAAGTGCATTCCGCAAATCGAAGAGCCCGTAGTCCCACTTAAATGCTATAATAATTCTAACATCCATTGACAAGTTCTTTGAAAGTGGTATTTTGGAGAAGCACACAAATATCAATGTTGGAAGAAACATCGTTGTTTGTAATGTACAATGGTGCATTATCCATGACAAGAAGGATTTGCCAACATGCCCTCTTCATCTCTTTGTTGAGTTTTTTCAACCATTCTTAAAAAAAAATTCTTTTCATCCATGCTTTCGTATTGGAACAATAATAAAAATCCAACTGTTTGCTTATGCAATGGTTGAAGCAATAGGACTTGTAGGCATGGCCAATAAAAAAAAGTGGCAATTTAAAGTTCCATCGGCATTTGCTATAAATGTAATTGTAATCCTTGCATTTTTCTTCTTATAGCCAACAATTTATTGTTGAACAATGGTTTGATTTGGCACTATACTATAAAATAGTCCTATTTCATCCATATTGTATACATCATATACATTATAGCTTGCAATGAAAGCACACAAAGTACGCTGTCGTATTACGTGCTTTCCTGCTCGAGAACGCGCCGGGCGTCTGGTTGTAGAAGGTAGTATGGAGATTCGCCAATAGTCAAGCAGTCTATCAGTTTTTGACTGATGGAATATAAACGACTGCAAGAATACACCGTAAATCTATATGGATGCCCTTCGACTGCTCGCCGAAGTCCTTTTTGTCCCAGCCGGTAGGTCTCTAGACGTTACAGAGAACCCCGAACAACCCAATCTGCTAATCTCCGATACCGCTTTATACTCACGATCTTGTATCCACTGATGTCACGGACCAAAAATACAAACAAGAAATCTAAACAAGAAGTTCAAGAAGAAATGACAAGAACTAGATTATCAGATGAGTACAAGAGCAACGCCAAGGGAATTGAGCTAGAGCTTCAAGAGATGTGTTGTCGAGACTGAAGAACTCTTCAGCCTCGACTCTTATATATACTACTGGCCTATGGTTCTAAGGAAGCGCATCAAGAAGCTTCCCAAGAACTATGAAGCTTCTCGAGCAACTACCCAAGAGCTAGGAAGCTTCTCAAGTAACTTCCTAGAATCTATTAGAATATTCTAAGAATCTTTTAGAACCTTCTAAGAGAATCTTTAGGGAATCTTTAGGGAATCTTCAAGGAATCTTTAAAGAATATTCTAAGAGAATATTTAAGGAATCTTCTGGAAGTTTCTAGAGACTTCTTTCTAGAAGGTTCTAGAAACTTGTCTCTAGAAAGGTCTAAGGACTATGTCCCTAACATCACCTCCTCCTTTAGCTTCGAGGTCTCCGAGAAGCAATGTTATTGTCAGTCAATACCAACGCAAGAAAATGAAGATCTGTCGCATAACCTCTGCTATGAACTCCAATTGTTGTTCACGAGGCAAGTGATTCAATGGTCCTTGAAGCCAACGGTAGTGGCCCACGCCTTCAACTTCTGACCAAGCATGAACCTCTGTGTCTTCATTGTGAAATTGTCCTGCAAACACTCCTTCTGGCTGACCATTGTAGGCAGGCTCGACCTCAAATATAATCACCAGCGATCTATTGCTCGGAATCCTTCGACGTCGTCGTGGTGCAAGCGGTTCTTCATCTCGCGGTCGTCTTCGTGAGCTAGTTGCTTGAGATGACATGACAAGTGTAGTATCTTGGCTATCCATATTCAAAGGCTAAAACAATAAGAACAAACTTGGCCTACTAACAAAGTTCTACGCTATCTTGGAGAGAATGACTACATCAACTATGGATTTTGGTGGTGCTCTCTTCTCTTTTCTGTTTTCTGGATGAGCAAGCTTCAGTAAGAAGCTATCGTCGAACCGGCTTGGGTTTCTCAGGATATCGTCGATGAAACTCCTATACCTTTTGCGGCGCATTCGCGAGATTTTTGGCTGGCTCCTATGTTCGTTCATTAATATCGTAACCGCTCCAATGCACAAAGTATTCTAATTTACCCCGTCTTTGCCGTGAATCCAGGACCTTTTCTACCTCGTATTCTTCGTGGTTCTCTATTTCTATGCTAGGTGGTGGACATTGTTCTCTTCCAGGAAAAGACGATTCTCGATAAGGCTCCAACAAAGAAACATGAAAGACAGGATGTACCTTCATAGTAGCTGGTAACTCCAGACGATATGCTACAGGATTGATCTGCTTCTGGATAACAAATGGTCCCAATCTCCGATAGTCCAATTTGTCACATGGCCGCTTGGTCTTAATATTTCGTCGAAGCAGCCAAACTTTGTTTCCAATTGTGAATTTAGGTGCCTGATTCCGAAATTTGTCCGCGGACGCCTTGTAAGATTCTTGGGTAGTTTGCAATTGAAGCTTCAATGTAGTTTGAAGCTGCGAAAGCTCCTTCACCAATCCTTCAGCTGCCGGATTGTTAATCGTTGACGAACTCCATAAGTCAAGCTTCGCATGGTATCCATAATTGGAAAAGAATGGCGTTTGTTGAGTTGACGCATGAAGGGTGTTGTTATATGCGAACTCGGCTAGCGGTAGATATGCGACCCAATCATCTTGTTGATAGTTGATGGTGCAACGTAAATATTGCTCTAAAACTTGATTCACCCATTTTGTTTGGCCGTCCGTTTGAGAATGAAATGCCGAAGAAAGCTTGATATCCACCTTCAATATTTCAAAAAGAGATTTCCAAAACTTTGACACAAACTGGGTTCCTCGATCCGATACGATATCATCTGGTAGACCATGATATCGATACACATTATCAAGAAAGAGTCTTGTTGTGTCTTCGCTTGACGATGTCTTCTTGCAAGGGACAAAATGTGCCATCTTTGTAAGCCGGTCTACGACAACAAAAATGCTGTCAAATGAATTCGATGGTGGTAGATCCGTAATAAAATCCATGGAAACCGAAGACCATGGTCGGCGCGGAATAGGCAATGGCTGTAGAAGTCCATAAGGCCGATGTCGAGGGTTTTTGGATCTTGAACAAATGTCACAAGATACAACAAAATCTTTCACATCCTTCCACATTTGAGGCCACCAGAAATCGCGGGAAATAAGTTCCAAGGTCTTATTGAATCCAAAATGTCCCGCAGCTGGAAAGTCATGACGAGATTGAAGAACTCGGAGTCGTATTGGCCCTTTTGGGATATACAACCGCTCTTCGAAATATACTAGATCTCCTTCCATCTTGAATTTATCATCACTAGCATGTTGCTTGATATCAAGGGCTAGAGAATCTTCAATGGTTGCGGCCCGTACCTGGTCGAGGAAGTCAGCATCAATTGGTACAATAGCTGCGTTGAGCCGAAATTTCTCTGGCTTCAACAATGTCGTGCACTGTTGATCAAATGCTGCATCTCCAGCCTTTGGCGCAAGATATGATCTCCTTGATAATGCATCGGACAACCCTTGTTGCTTCCCAGGCCGATAAATAATAACAAAGTTGAACCTGGATAGCGACATACTCCACCGAGCTTGACGCCGATTCAAAACCCGAGCCGAC